AAAAATATGAGAGTTCGGTTCCCAGCACCCACGGTGTCCCTCAAGGATTTAAAAAAAAAAAAAAAAGTAACCATGAAGTTTACTACAGAATTAATGTAAAAGAAAAGTAAAATCTTTGTTTTCAGCACTTCTACCCTTTATCAGTATGCCAGTTTAATGGAATATGGTTAGAATTACCTCAGCTTTAATTTTTAATGTATATTAGTGTTTTGGCTGCATGTGTATGTCTGGTGCCTGTGGAGGAACTGAGTTACACATGATTGTGAGCTATCGTGTGGATATTAAGAACTGAACCTGGGTCCTCTGCAAGAACATCACTTGCTCTTAACCACTGAGCCATCTTCCCAGCCCCTCGTTTTATCAAGTTTGGTGGTTGGGTGGTTGGTTTTTCAAGACAAGGTGTCTTTTATAGCCTTGGCTATCGTGGAACTCACCACTGCTGGGCAGATTTTTTAATTTGCTATTTCCTTTCTGAGTTGTAAAAGACTTTTATCCTTAATTGCAGGGAGTCTCTGTGACCACCATGGCCAACAATGTCCATCCATATGAGATAAGGCAGTTTTGTTTAACACAACTTAATAGCTGGTGTTCATTCAAACTTCTTTTAGGCATATTTAAGCACAGCACAATTTGTTGAAATAATATTCCTGGTAATAATTATTTCAATCCCATGTTGAAACTATGTAAAGTACATGTGACATCTGCCATAAAGATAGGTGCTATAGATTGATTGGGGAAAACAATCTTATGATAAGGGTCTGGGGGAGGATCTGGTGTGGCCTGGGCCATGCAGTGCAAAGGTCACCAGACTGTTAACCACCTCTACTCTGAAAACAGGTTGTAATCTTTGTCTGCATGTTTAACATTCCTAGTTTCTTTAGTGCTTGTCTGTGATCACAAGGTCCTCTGAGCCTTCTAAAAATCCTTAAAAATCTTCATTTGAGCAGGGCAGTGGTGACACACGCCTTTAATCCCAGCACTAAGGAGGCAGAGGCAGGCGGATCTCTGTGAGTTTGAGGCCAGCCTGGTTCTGGGACAGGCTCCAGAGAAATCTGTCTCAAAAATACAAAAGAGGGCTGGAGAGATGGCTCAGAGGTTAAGAGCACTGGCTGCTCTTTCAGAGGTCCTGCCTGAGTTCAATTCCCAGCAACCACTTGGTGGCTCACAACCATCTGTACTGAGATCTAGCACCCTCCTCTGGCTTGCAGGCATACATCAAGGCAGAATGTTGTATACATAATAAATAAATAAGTCTTTAAAAAAATACAAAAAAAAAAAAGAATTTCCATTTGTTGTTTGTTTGGTTTTTGGTTTTTTTTTTTGTTTGTTTGTTTGTTTGGTTGTTTCTTTTTGTTTTTGGAGATAGGGTCTAACTGTGTAGTCCTGACTGTCCGGGAACTCAGGCATAGACTAGGCTGACCTTGAACCCACAGAAATTATCCTGCCTCCACCTTAAAGACAGTCACCACCACGCTGGGCCTATTTATTTTATTTTATCTATGGAATTTAATTGTGTTTGGGAAGGTCCTGATTACATACCTTTCTTTTATGAGCCTTTACTTAGGCCTCACCTAGAAGTGATGACATTGGCGTTCCGTGTCCTATCTTTTGTGCTGGTGAAGTAGACTCCTCTATCTTACACTCATAAAACCCTTAGTCTAGAGGCCAAGCAACTGTGGTAGGAAAGTAGCCTTCTGTGCAGACTTTGTAGTAAAATAAGTGATTAAGAATGCAGTTTTAAAGACTGAAGATTAAATTCATTCTTTGTCATAATCCCATCTACTAAAGGTCATGGCTTGAAAGTAATATGAAAATGCTTTGTACTTCATATCCACTGTTTTCCACAGTGAAAGTTGCCTTTTGGGGGTTATACTTTGTTAATTATGATCAAATTTATACTAAATGGTCACTTAAAAGACTAAAAAGTCATATTTTTCAGTTAATGAATGATTTTCTTATTTTAATTTTAATTGAAAGGTTTTTACTTGAAATTGGGGTGTATTGGAACTGTCATCATTCTTTAAGCACTGTTGCTGTTTATGTAAGTGGTCACAAAACAGAGGGTCATTAAGGGAAAGCAGATGCGCATCCTCAGTGTGGCTCTGTGCTTAGTAGGAGCACTAGGTTAGGTCGCTCGTTCTCTTTATTTTATCACCAGTGATTTAGCTTACTAATTTCCTAAACACCGTATTTTGTGTGTCTAGGAGGATAAGCTGTTATTTTGTTTTGTTTTGTTTTTCTTTTCCTGGTGAGAAAAGCCCACAATCGTCACATGCTCCGAAGACTGTTGTCCATAAGTGTTTTGAAATCATTCTTCTAGGGGCCTGGGGAAATGGCGCAGCAGTTAAGATCACTTGTGCGCTTGCAGAGGGCCTGGGTTACATGGTGGCTCACAACCATCCATAATTCCAGTTCCAGGGAGTAGAATGCCCTCTGCTGGCTTCCACAGGTGTTGGTCTCTCATACACATAAAAAACATCTATCCATGTAAAATAAAATAAATCTTAAGATCTTTTTAAAAAGAGAAGAAAACTATTCTTCTAGAAGTTTTTGTCTGAGTCCATCGATATGGTCGCCATTAGGTGGCGTCACTAACACAGTCATATATTGTATATTTGCCAATAGAACAACCTTACCCAAAGCCCAAGCCATCAAGTGACTCTCTTAGCTTGGAGACATGATTTGTTGTTTTTCTATATTCATGTCTATACATTTTGCTTACATAAGACTAGTGGATGGGGCTGTGTGTAAGGCTAATTCCAGGGAATCCAGTGCCTCTTCTGGCCAGACTACCGGGCAAGCACATGTTATAGACATGCATGCAAGCAAGACACAAATACATACAGAATAAATCTAAACAGCTTTTTAAAAGGGTCAGTGAATGCATGAGAGTTAAAAATGTTAATTTTTCCTAGTAGTTTTCCACAGTCCTCAACATAGTAATTATCAGCTAGCCTTTTTTCCATTGATTTGCATATTTATACATATGAATTAGTTTCCACAGATATATATACATACATACATACATACATACATACATACATACATACATATATGTATGTGTGTGTATATATATTCTGGGCTGGTCTTGAACTCACAACTCACCTTCCTATCACAGCTTCCCAAATACTGGGATTATAGGTGTATACCACATCATCTGGATTTCCATCCATTAATAGTCAAGAGTATGCAGAATTCTGATTATGAGAAACACAGGCAAATAGCTGCGTTGGAACGTCTACTCCAATAGTGATGGTATTTGTCTCATATGATGGTTCAACATGTTTCTTTTCCAGCATGATATCTAGTACATGAAAAATTATTGCAGCTATGTTAATTAATATCACTATGCTGCAGGGTTTTGGCTTTTGATTTTTAAAGAGAGAGTATAAGAAAAGGAGAAATAGGGCTGGAGAGATAGCTCAGAGGTTAAGAGCATTGCCTGCTCTTCCAAAGGTCCTGAGTTCAATTCCCAGCAACCACATGGTGGCTCACAACCATCTGTAATGGGGTCTGGTGCCGTCTTCTGGCCTGCAGGCATACACACAGACAGAATATTGTGTACATAATAAATAAATAAATATTTAAAAAAAATAAAAGAAAAGGAGAAATACTGGAGACCGCTAAGGGTTTTGCATGTCACACAGTGCATGTGGAAAGGTCAGAGGACAACTTTTCAGCACTCGGTTCTCTCATTTCACCTTATTTTGAGGCAGGGTTTTTTTTTTTAATTTTTGTTTTTATTATTACTCTTGTTCTATTTTGGTTTGGTTTGCTTTTTGTTTTTTTGAGACAGAATTTCTCTGTTTAGCTCTGGCTGTCCTGGAACTCACTTTGTAGACCAGGCTGGCCTCGAACTCACAGAGATTCATCTATCTGCCTCTGCTTCCCAAGTACTTGGACTAAAGGCATGAGCCACCACAGCTGGCTATGATGCCAGGTTTTGTTGTTTCTGTGGCTTTGCTGCAAATTCTTCTTTCTCCACCTTCACCTTCCATTCACCAGGGTGCTCACCGCTGTCTTTGGCTTTTTACACAGATTCAGTGAACTAAACTCAAGTTTTCAGGCTTATGCAGCAGGTGCTTTTCCCAACACTAAGCAATCTCTGGCTTCTCAACTTATTTTTTAAAGCAGGCAATCATTTTCAATTTTTGTGCTTTAGCAGTTCTTTTCCCTTAGAAGTACTAGGGATCAAACCAATGGCCTTGAAATGATCTACTACTACAAATGATCTACTACTAACTACATCCATAGTCCACCCTGACCTATTCTTTTTTTTAAATACATATTTTATTTTATGTGCATTGGTGTTTTGCCTTCATGTTTGTGTAAGGGCATCAGATCCCTGGAACTGGAGTTACAGACAATTGTGAGCTGCCATGTGGGTACCAGGAATTGAACCTGGGTCCTCTGGAAGAGCAGCCAGTGTTCTTAACCACTGAGCCATCTCTCCAGCTCCCAGCCCTTAGCTATTTTTAACAGCCTTGGCTGCTTAATGAATCTTTGTCTCTAAAAATAAAAATAAATGCATGTTTAGTGATGGTGCGTGCCTTTAATCCTGGCACTCTGGAGGCAGAGGTGAACAAGTCACTTGAGTTCAAGGCCAGCCAAGACTATACAGAGAAACCCTGTCCTGGCAAGGGGGAGAAAAATAGAAAATTTAGAGAGAAGTGCCCAACCAAGAACAGACTCCTGTGAACTTTCAAATTCTAAGAGCTCACATGTGGAAAGCAGTTTAAGTTCCAGTAATCTGACTTATTTCCTTAGAATTTCTTTTGTCCAGTCCAGCCACTCTTTTAAGCTCAAACACACTCCTTCATATATAGGTAAATTATATTAATTAAATTATCATACAAGAGCCGGGCGGTGGTGGCGCACGCCTTTAATCCCAGCAGAGGCAGGCGGATCTCTGTGAGTTCGAGACCAGCCTGGTCTACAAGAGCTAGTTCCAGGACAGGCTCCAAAACCACAGAGAAACCCTGTCTCGAAAAACCAAAAAAAAAAAAAAATCAGACAAGAAGGTGATTATATAGTCTATTGTGTGCTGTTAAGGATTTATAAAGTCTTATATTTAAATAAGAAAACTGAGTATGGTGGCACATGCCTATAATCTCAGCACATTGGAGGCCCCTCAGCTACATGAGAAGTTCTAGAGTACACTAACCTACATGAGCCCCTATCTCAGCAACAGCAAAAAAGAAATAATTCCACTGGCTAAAATTTAATCTCATCTTGTGTGATGTATGGACAGTTTTTGACACTAGGTGGCACAGTTTCCTGCAGAAAGACTTTACGCAGCCCAGTTCTGCACACTGCCTGTGAGACATGGATCCTTACCTGAAGGGTCGCTGGCTTTACAGACAGTGCTCTTTAACACACTTCACTCCTGGCCTTTTTTAACATTTGGGGATCAAAGTAGGAAAAATTCTATGTGCCTGAAGCATTAGCATTCTCCCTTCTAAACGCAGTGTGGAAGGATGGGGTATATTATAAAATTGACCCAACTTTTATTAAAAATCATAATCATTAGATGCTATCCTTTGAGAAGGTCTACTTAAGAGACATAGTCTTAATATCATCATTTCAACAAAAGCCTGTAACTCTGGTAGAAATTAAATTTAAAAAGATGTGAAAGATTTGCTACTAGACACCTGTTTATGTTTAAGTTTGGGCGGTTTTATTTTAAAATGGGGCAGAAATTGTACGTTTTAGTACAATTTCTAAAGTACTAAAAGTCTGGCCTGTTGTTTTCTCTTGTATAGACATCGCTGTGGATGGCTCTGTATTTTCTTCAGTGGCAGTGCCTACCAGTAGCCTTGGCTCCTTTAAAGCTGTGTTTCCTTAGGTACATATGTGTCTGGAGCCTTTTGACTCTTAATGCCTTTTGGGTGGGCGGGGTGTTCAAAACAGGGCTTCTCTGTAGCTTTAGAGCCTGTCCTGGAACTAGCTCTTTTAGATCAGGCTGGTCTCGAACTCACAAAGATCCACCTGTCTCAGCCTCCCGAGTGCAGGAATTAAAGGCATGTGTCACCACCGTCCTATGACTCTTGATTCCTTATTGCTAAAAATCAGTATTTGGGAAAAATCACTGATATGGAGTAAAACCAAGTGGGGACGTAGTTTAATTTAGTGGATGCTCTTTTGTTAATACCCTGACAGGTAGTTCTCTCAAAACTAAACCGTTAGCTCTCTTCTTCACTTTCATTTTTGCTTCTGGTGATTACTATAGAGCTTGGTCGCCTGCTTATTCTTCAATACAGATAAGGAAGAAATTCTCCCACATTGGATTCTGGGGTCACTTAATACTGACTTCTATAGGTATGGTGACTAGTCGTGAACACTCTTGAGTCAGAACTCTTCCTGGAAGATCAGCAGCCCCTTTTTAGAAAAAAAAAAAAAAAAGCTATTTTCCTTTGTTTGATGAACGAGGGCACGATAGCTCTTCTCCCTGTCTTTCCCCCAAGGAATGACTCATGTATTAATTCTCATAGCATCACCACATCAAAGGCGGAAACCAAGGTCTCTAGGACATAGGGGTTTGTGCAGACTGGATAGCTTCCCGCTCTTAAGCCATTATTTATAACTGTGTACTTAAAAGAGTAGGTTATTAAACAGCTTGCACTGTCTTTTTTTAATAGCTCTACATAAATATGTAGTTCATTTATTCTGAATACTTAAGCCAACTTATGATCAAAACTTGCTGAGAAGAGGGATGAAGCTCAGCAACAGAGTATGTTGCTAGCATGTAACTAGTATGCTAGAGAGCCTGAGCTCAAACCCCAGCACCTCAACAAGAGAAACAAAACAGTTAAGTTTTTGTTGTTACTTTCTTTTGTTATTTACCTGTTTGTTTGTTTATTTGTTTTGAAAAAGGGTCTCAGTATTTACCTCTGACTGGCCTGGAGCTCACCAGGCTGCTCTCTGATGCTAGGATTAAAGGCGTGTGTCACCATGTCAGCCCTCTCAGGCTTAATGACAAATGTGAGGTGATGTATGTGTTAAAAATCTTGAGTTTATCAATATATAATGTATAAATATACTAAAACATCATACTATAATTAATGCTATCCAATTATTTGTAAACCTTTAAAACCAATTTTAAGTTATTTGGTTTAATGAGACTGACCCTGCTGTCTGCTGCGATAAGGAAGAGGCTACTGTGTTACATGAATCTGCCTTTATATGTACTAATCCGTTACAATCAAAAGGCTTCCAAAAGGTGTATGAGCTAATAATATAGTGTACACTTCTTTTGTTTTAGCTAGCAACTATGTACTTATACTTTTAAAATATAATTATATATTGTTGTCCTAGGTAGCACAACCATTGTTACATTTTTTAAACATTTTGTTATATTAGGAAGATAAGACAGAATTCTAATTATACCTTGTTAAATTACTAACATATATAAAGACCTGGCACTCACGTTAACTAATGCCTAGTTCATTGTGTTTAGAGATACCATACTGATTTTATAGGGACCTGGGGTCTGGCTTGAAACTTGACCAAAAGAATCAGAATGGGTCTGGGGACTGGAGAGATGACTCAGTGGTTAAGAGCACTAACTGTTCTTCCAGAGGCTTAGCACCCACATGGCAGCTAGCTCTCAATGCCCTGTAATCCCAGCCCCACGAGAGCTGAAACCCTCTTCTGACCTCTCTGGGCACAAGCATGCATGCAGACAAAACACCCAAACAAATAAAATTAAAAAAGAAAAAAAGAGCAGGTCAGTTTTTGGCGTCTACTTGAAATTAGTTCTGCCTGGGCGGTGGTGGCGCACACCTTTAATCCCAGCACTAGGGAGGCAGAGGCAGAAGGATCCCTGTGAGTTTGAGGCCAGCCTGGTCTACAAGAGCTAGTTCCAGGATAGGCACCAAAGCTATAGAGAAACCCTGTCTCAAACAAAAAACAAACAAACAAAAAAAGAAATTAGTTCTGTGTTCTAAACAGGAATTCCTTGCTGCAGAGCAATCGTAACTTTAAGTTGTTTTCTGACTGAATAGATGGTGATAAGAAAAGCAATGAATAGTTTTCACCTTTGGGGGAGTAGAGTTCCTGTGTAGAAAGGGCTTCTAAGGCCCTAAAAGTTGAACTTCAAAAAAGAAAGAAAAGGCTGCACGTCATCCAGACAACCATTTATCATCTTCTTGCACTTACTTATCTCCCAGATACCCCTGATGAAGCAGAGTCCGGGCCAGCGCCGTCCTTTTGTTCTTTGGTGAACCAGTGAGGCAGACACATGTTTTCCCAGTGAATCAGCACAGGACTCAATTTTATTACCTTTGCCCTGAGTTTTCCAGACAGACTAATTAGAAATTTTGCCTTTGGGATCTCACTTAACTTCTGTATGTAGATGATAGATTCAGCTATGATTGACTTCACAGATGTTATGGAGCGACGCCACTCTTTAGGAATGTTTTATCAGTTTTAAGACAGCCACCTTGAGTGTAAGCTTGTCTTCTTAGGAGTACTTTCACACACACGCACACACACACACAATCGTACAAAGAAGCTTGACTAAATTAGCTCCTAGTTAACTAGGAAAACCATTTTAAATTTCATTTTTTAAAAGATAGCCAGCCCTAAAAGTAAACACAAAGGTATCTCCAGCTCTCCGTGGTTTCCAGGGTTACATATTCTGTTTAATGAAACTTGGTAAGAATATGGCCTTCCACACTAAAGGAGGGGTGTGATTGTAGTAAGTTATGACCTGCTCTGCTGTCCATACAAAGAACTCAGAAGTTTCAAAACCCAGAAAATGGAAGTTTGTTTGTTTGTTTGAAATAAAGTAGAAATACACATACTATTTCATAATTTTATAATTAGAGCATTTTTAACTTATTGAAGTATGAATATATTCATGCCTCCTTGTGAAAAACATAATTTGTGTTGTGACACCAAAAGGTCTTTTTCTGGACTTTTATAGATATTTCATAGATAGCAAAGCATAACTTAAATTTTCTTTTTACCACCAGATTACAGTAGCTCTGTTTGACATGATCTTAGAAATAATCACTTGTAAAGAAAAAATCACTTGTAAAGAAGTGATTTTTGAGCCATCTCAGTGTCTCAGCTGGTAAAGGTGTACTATACCACCAAGCCTGACAATCTGAGTTTCATCCTCAGGACCACATGGTGGGCGCAAAGCACCACGCACAGGTTTCCTCTGGCCCCACTCCATTATACATGGAATTTTTAAAAATTTAAACTATTATTATTATTATTAGGTTTTTTTAATATTTATTTATTTAGTATACAATATTATGTCTGTGTGTATGCGTTCAGGCCAGAAGAGGGCACCAGACCTCATTATAGATGGTTGTGAGCCACCATGTGGTTGCTGGGAATTGAACTCAGGACCTTTGGAAGAGCAGGCAATGCTCTTAACCACTGAGCCATCTCTCCAGCCCCTAGGTTTTTATTCTTTAGTATGTGGTGGAACCCATCCTAATCTCACTAGTGAATACAGGCTGCACAATGAAAACTTGTCTCTAAATAACAAAAATGAAGGCTTAAATTTCTTTTTTGAATTTAATTTAGAACAGTGCCTAACTATTACTAAAGCCAGAGTATAAAGACCCCACAGAATTGTCTAAGTTGTAAGTTTTTTCTTTGTACTTTACTCTGGAAAGAATATAAATTGTAGGAATGTAGCTTTTTAAAATTTGTGTAAAAAGAATTGAGTCTGTGGCACATGCCTATAATCTTAGAAGTTGAGAGGCCGAGGCAGGAGAATCTGTCGTTTGAGGTCAGCCTGAGCTATAGCTGCAAAAACAACTTCAAATACCTAAGACAGGGTTTCCTCAGTGAAACAGTTCTGGAAGACCTGAACTCTGGAGACCAGGCTGGCCTTGAACTCAAAGAGATCTGCCTGCCTCTGCCTCCTAAGCACTGGGATTAAAGGCGTGCGTGCGCCATCACTGCCTGGCTGAAATATCTTTTTTCACAAAGAAATATTTCCTGTTAGAAATCCTACCTTCCTATCTAAGTTTGGTGTATTCTCACCCCAAGGGACTTGCCTGAGCAAGTGCCTCTAAGTGTATTATCCTGACCAAAGCAGAATTATTCCATTAATCAAACTTTGGGAAATACTGTGTAATAAATATAATTTATGAGACTACATATGGAATTTCAAAATGAAGCAAATCCAGATGTCCAGTGTCACAAATAGCTAAACTTTCTTTTTTTTTTTTTTTTGGTTTTTTCGAGACAGGGTTTCTCTGTGGCTTTGGAGCCTGTCCTGGAACTAGCTCTGTAGACCAGGCTGGTCTCGAACTCACAGAGATCCGCCTGCCTCTGCCTCCCGAGTGCTGGGATTAAAGGCGTGCGCCACCATCGCCCCGCTATAGCTAAACTTTCTTGTTGGATTATAAAGATTATGCTGAATTTGGTAAAAACAAAATAAAACCTTAAAATTTTTTTGCCACTTTTCCCTAAAACTATTTCCTATACTGACCTTGCTATATCATCTTTGTTGTTCAAATCTCCTGTGTCCATCTGAATTTTTATTCTACTTACCCTATCGATTAATGAAAGGTGGGTATCTTAGTTAGGGTTTCTCTTGCTATGATAAAACACCATGGGGAGAGCTGGGTGGTGGTGGCGCACACCTCTAATCCCAGCACTCAGGAGGCAGAGGCAGGCGGATCTCTGTGAGTTCGAGGCCAGCCTGGTCTACAGAGCTAATTCCAGGACAGCACAAAGAACACAGAGAAACCCTCCCAGCACTCAGGAGGCAGAGGCAGGCGGATCTCTGTGAGTTCGAGGCCAGCCTGGTCTACAGAGCTAATTCCAGGACAGCACAAAGAACACAGAGAAACCCTCCCAGCACTCAGGAGGCAGAGGCAGGCGGATCTCTGTGAGTTCGAGGCCAGCCTGGTCTACAGAGCTAATTCCAGGACAGCACAAAGAACACAGAGAAACCCTGTCTCGGAAAAAAGAAAAACCCTGGGAAGGGAAGGGTTTAGGGGTTTAGTTCAGTTTTCGATTCTAGTTTTTTGTGCTATAATTTCTAGCTTGGCTCACTTATTACTTTCATATAGCTAAATTATGACTTTCATGTAATACATTGGTGAGGCTTGCACTTTTTTAAATATTTTTTTAAATTTATTTTACATACAGACCACAGTTTCCCCTACCTCAATGTCTGCTGAACTTTTTAAAAATTATGCTTAAAAGATGGTTTGGGGTCCAGGGATTCTAGAAGGATGAGTAATAAAGCGCCTGCATCGCGTGAGTGAGACCCCAAGTTCAGTCCCAGCTCTATAAAGAGAGCATGAGTGTCTTGAATATATGTAATTTTCTGAAGAATTTTATTCAAAACACATTTGTTCTTGCTTGTTTGTTGTAAACTTCATTCCTGTTAGTTATGTTAGCAACGATTAAGTATAAAGTTGAGAAGAGTAAGGTTTCCTCTCAGTAAATGCCGTCTAAACTAAAATGTCGAGGTGTAGGCTACAAAAGACCTGTGAAAATGAACAAAGGAGAGGATAGAGTTGTTAGCCAAGCTGTAGCTTTCATTTTGTCTGGAAACCACCACATCTGCCTCTAAGCTGAGTAATAATGACTTAATAGAATGGCTATGGGAAATATGAACCACTGTTGAATGAATGAACAAAGAGGGTCTCACTGTGTGACCCCAGCTGGTCCAAAACTTCTTAGGTAGACTGTGCCTGGCTAGGTTGTTGCAGAGCTTGCTAGGTAACTGGGAATAAACAAACCTCTTGTCCTTTGTCCTACACCTGAGTGCTGGATTGCAGTTCTGTGAGTCACCACACCTGCTCCATGGTAGAGATGGAGCCCAGGGCCTTGTGCCTTCTAGGCAGGCCTTTAGCAGCTTTGTATACCCTCAGCCTGGAACAGTCACCTTTAGGGAAAAGTCTGAAATTGGTGAGAATTTACTCTTTTTTTTTTTTTTTTTTTTTTTTTTTTTTCTTTTTTGAGACAGGGTTTCTCTGTAGTTTTCTGAGCCTGTCCTGGAACTAGCTCTTATAGACCATGTTGACCTCAAACTCACAAAGATCCGCCTGCCTCTGGCTCCCAAGTGTTGGGAAGCTGGACCACTTAAAAACCATTAGTGCCTTATTTTCTGATTTACACTCGCCCACCACCCCCTTAAAAAAAAAAAAAGTCCAGCTGTATATGTAGCCAAAGGAAAAAGAACAGTCACCTCTTTCATTTTCTTCCTTTTTAATTACTGCCATCATGTGTCTCTCATGATTTCTCATGTTATAAGTGTTGTTTTTGACTGGGCAATTGTTGTACATGCCTTTAATCCCAGCACTCAGGAGGCTGAGGCAGGCACATCTCTGTGAGCTCAAGACCAGCCTGGTCTACAGAGTCGGTTCCAGTACAGCCAGGACTACACAGAGAAACCCTGTGTCAAAAAAACAAAAACAAAAAAAAAAATATCTGTTTCTGAAACTAAATCTCACTATGTATCCTGGGCTGCCCTAGAATTCAGGGTGCAAGCTCTATGCCTGATTGTAGTTACTGTTTTTATAGTGGATTTGCTAGATGAGTTAAGAGTATCTAAACTTTTAATTCAAAATTTTGTTATGTTTGTTTTCTTTTTGATAGGATTAGAAAATGATCCTTTTTCTTCCGACTATAGAATCTATTTTCTACATATAATGTTTAAAAAAAAAACCAAGTTTTTGTTTTCATGGTTAAGCATGATTTTTAAAAACCTAGTTGAGGGTACCTAAGAGGACTTTTGGGATGTTGATATAATCTAAATATTGTATTCATATCTGAAATTGCCAAAGAATAAATAAATCTTTAAAAGAGAGGGGCAAAATAAAAATATTCTTTTTTAGCCATAGGTGGTGGCACAGGCCTTTAATCCCAGCACTTGGGAGACAGAGGCAGGTAAGTGTATCTGTGATTTTGAGGTTAGCCAGGGCTACATAGTGAGATACACTGTCTTTAAAAAAAAAAACAAACAAAAATATATATTGTCTTTAAAACCATCAACATTTTAAATTTTGGATATTGTTATATAAGAATTTCCAAGAATTAAAATCCAAGAAAAAGAAGAAAAGACTAAAAAGTAAAAATGTCAAGTAGATTTTTAAACATCTTTCTTAAAAACCAAAGCATAAAAAACAAACAAGTAAGTAAACATGAAAGGAGTAGTTGGAGAGGTATTTGAGAATGTTTGCTGTGCTTCCAGAGTTTGGTTCCACGCACACAATCCCATGCCTCTGGCCTCTCTGGGCACCTGCATTCATGTGCTGATACTCACACACAAGTACGAATAATTAAAAGTAATAGAAATAAATCTTGGAGGCTGGAGAATGACTTAGCGGTTAGCAGCACTTGCTACTTTTGCAGAGGACCCAGATGTGTTTGACAGCACCCACATGGTACCTCACGACCATCCTTAACCTCAGTTCCAGGGGATCCGTCTCCCTCTTCTGGCCTTCTCATGCACCAAACACATACCGGTGCATGCAGGCAATATACTCGTGTGTGTGTGTGTGTGTGTGTGTGTGTGTGTGTGTGTGTGTGTGTATGTAATTCTTAAATAAGTAAACAATTTGTTATCCTTGTAATAAGTAGGACTTCTATGATAATTTATTTTTTCTTAAGAACTTTAGTTTGTTTACGACTGTCCGTGTGCACTCGGATATTGCAGACAACTAGTAGGTGTCACTTTCCTTCTAGCGTGTAGATTCTGGCAGTGGAGCGCAAGACATCAGAATTGATGACAAGTGTCTTTACCCTCTGAACCATTTTGTCAGCCCCTGAAATGCTTCATTTTCGTCAGTACATCTTATATAGCTGACTTTTTAAACCACAAATTCATTTATTCTCTGACCTTAAAGGGCTTTAATACATAATGATTACCTTTTTTAGGTCTGAATCACTTATGAAAAGTCAGTGGAAAAATCTTTGCTAGAAACCGTCACATTCAGAAATAGTCACACAATATGGTCAATATCAAAATGTCATATGTATATAATCCTGTTCAATAAAAGTATTTTTCAGCCGGGCGGTGGTGGCGCACGCCTTTAATCCCAGCACTCGGGAGGCAGAGGCAGGCGGATCTCTGGGAGTTCGAGGCCAACCTGGTCTACAAGAGCTAGTTCCGGGACAGGCACCAAAGCTACAGAGAAACCCTGTCTCGAAAAAAACAAAACAAAAATAATAATAATAATAAAAGTATTTTTCTTTTAACAGATAATGGCTACTATATATTATATACTAACAGACAACCACCAATCTATGCTTAGGACATGTGGGAATTTACAGTTTTGCCAATTCTTATATTTATTTTATTTATTATTAATGTGTGTGTGAGAGAGGGAGGAAGGAAGAGAGAGACAACGACCAAGTCAAAGGACTTAGTTGGGTCTGCACAACAAGTACATTCATGAGCTATCTCATCAGCCCCCTCTTTTTACCAATCCTGCAGTTGATTTTCTAAATTATTTTATTTGTAATTGTGTGTATGTGCATGTGTGTGCTCATGTGCACGTGCACATAGGCATGCAAGTACCTACCGAAGACTGGACAGGGCATCAGATCCACCAGAGCTGGAGTTAGAGGTGTTTGTGAGCCCAGGAGCCGAAGTCAGGTCGTCTGCAGGAGTGGTCAGTGTCCACTTTCAGCTCCTGAGCCATCTCTCCAGCCCTCTGTAGTTGCTTTTCATACAAATGACTCATCCTGTGCAGTTAAGAATCACCGTATATCTAAATATAAATATAGTATAATTTATGTTTAATAATTTGTAATACTTCAAAATAAAAGCAAAATGTCACAAAAGTTGCTGTAGGAAAATTCTTTTAATAAAAGTACAACTTATTGATAAGTGGTTACATGTTTCATCTTTTTTAGGAACTGACTGGAAAGGATAGGTATTCTCAAATTTTGTGTAAAAGAAAAGTTTTATTACAGGGATTACCTTCTGACAAGTAATTCTCGATAAATAATATATAAATCAAGTGAAAAATTAGATAGGTTGCCTAGAGCTGGGTTGGGAGAGATTCTTTTACCCAATTACTAACTGCATCTTAGAATGTGTGTTTATGCAGAATCTTGTTCTCTGAAAGCACTGATTTCCTTGTATTTCATAGTGATTAATGTGATGTTGAAATAGCATGCATCAAAATTCCTTTTTTATTAGTATTTCTCATCAAAGGTTTCTTATATTTGTTTTCTAGGGCCCACATATCGCTTCAGTTACATTAGCTGCTTATGAATGCAATTCAGTTAATTTCCCTGAGCCACCCTATCCTGACCAGATTATCTGTCCAGTTGAAGAAGGCACTGAAGGAACTGTTTCTTTATGGAGTATCATCTCAAAAGTTAGAATTGAGGCCTGCATGTGGGTAAGATCTGCGTTTTCATATTTGACTAAAACTAATCTCGCCATCTTGATGCTATGTCAAACCTTTTAAGAATATGACTCACATGTGCCTAGTCAATGAAGAATTTGTGAGGCCACTTGCTGCATACTTCCAAGGCAAAAGACTCCTTCAGTAGTGACAAGGCTGCACATGGTGTCCTGTGCCTGTAATCTTGGTGCTTTGGAAGCTTAAGCAGAAAAATTGTAAGTTCCCAGTCAAACTAGATTGCAGAAACAAAAAAAAAAAATTTTTTAATTCTTTGGTTCATTATGTTTATATTCCCTTAACTTTTCTTTTCCTCAAAGGTTCTTAGGAAATAAAAGCATGTAGGAAAGATCAGATACAGATTTTACCTCAGGAGTCAGTGAGATTGTTCACTGGGCAGAGGTGTCTGCTGCCCAGCCCATGTCTTGAGTTTAGTCCCTGGAACCTCTGTGGTAGAAGAGAGAGCCACTGCCATACATTGTCCTCTACCTCTGACCTCCACGCCCATACCATGGCATCCGTTTGCACGGACACACAAGCATGAACGAATGAGCATATGGGTGTGCATACATAAGCACACACACATATACGTAAGCAAATAAAGTTTTTAAAAATTCTTTTTTTTTTATTGAGAATAAGAAAAAAAAAGTTTCCGCCTCCTCCCAGCCTCCCATTTCCCTCCCCGTCCCCCACTCTTCTCCCCCTCCCCCCACTCCTCTCCCCCTCCCTCTCTGATCCAAAGAGCAGTCATGGTTCCCTGCCCTGTGGAAAGTCCAAGGTCCTCCCCACTCCGTCCATGTCTAGGAAGGTGAACATCCAAACTGGCTAGGCTCCCACCAAGCCGGAACATGAAGTAGGATCAAAACCCCATGCCATTGACCTTGGCTTCTCAACAGACCTCATTGTACGCCATAATCAGAGAGTCCGGTTTTATCCCATGCTTTTTCAGTCACAGTCCAGCTGGCCTTGGTGAGCTCCCAATAGATCAGCCCCCACTGTCTCAGTGGGTGGGTGCACCCCCCTGTGGTCCTGACATCCTTGCTCGTGTTCTCCCTCCATCTGCTCCTCATTGGGACCTTGGGAGCTCAGTCCAGTGCTCCAGTGTGGGTCTCTGTCTCTATCTCCATCCATCACCAGATGAAGGTTCTAATTTTACTTTTAATCTCAGAACTTGGGTGGCACAGGCAAGTGGGTCTCTGAGTTTGAGGCCAGCCTGGTCTACAAGGCTGGTTCCAGGACAGCTAGGGCTCTCACACAGAGAAACCCTGTCTCAAGAAAACAAACAAACAAAAGAAATAAATTAAATTTCTAATTCATTAAAGCAGGAGTTGGCACCATAACTTAGAAGCAAGTTTTTTGGTTCTGGGGTGTATGTATATGTTTATGTGTATAAGTATTTTTCCTGCATGTATCATGTATAACCATTTGTGTACCTGGTACCAGTGGAGTTTAAACGAGAGCATTAGAACCCCAGAACTGAAGTTGTAAGTCACCATGTAGGTTCTGGGAATTGAACCCAGATCCTCTAGGAAAGAAGCACATGCTCTTAACCACTAAACCTTTTGTCCAGCTGTAGAAGAGATAGTTTTAAAAGTCACATGTTGGTGCCTTTTCCCACTGGTGGTTCTACAGATCGAACACTGAGCCTGGTGCTTGCTAAAAGCAAGTGTTCTTCCGCTAACCTGCATCCTCAGCCCAGCAATCATGTTGTGCTTTGAAGGAACTCTAAAGGAAATGCTGTTTGTTAAGTCTGTTGTGAAAGGCAGGAAGAGCTGTCGTGTTTCCTGTTGCTCTTTTATAAACACTAGATACAGATTCATTATGCTAGTTGTATGTTTTATAGATTTGAGGAGATTATTATGAAAATTATTATTAGAATAACAGAAGGCATTTGGAACATGTTAGAAAAGAGTTTACCAGCTGGGCAGTGGTGGTGCATACCTTTAATCCCAGCACTTAGGAGGCAGAGGAACTCTGTGAGTTCAAGGCCAGACTGGTCTACAAGAGCTAGTTCAATTCCAGGACAGGCTCCAAAACCACAGAGAAGCCCTGTCTCGGAAAAAAAAAAAAAAAAAAAAAGAAGAAGAACAGACAGAGAAAACCTGACTTCACTATCATGAGTACGTTAAATCAACAAAGCCATTATCATTTATGTCATTTACAATTATTACCTCACTTCCACCTTGGTCATATGAAGTGGGAGCATGCTGCTCACTTCATGGCATATGAGAATCAAACCAAAAGAGACTAGAGTGAGCTAAAGCCTTCCAGCAGTAATCACTTCTTCAAGGTTCCACCTCCTCCTAATAGTCTCTATCTAGGGCCAAATCCTTGCCTTCTAGGCCTTTTTTAAAAAAAAAAATTTTATTTATTTATTATGTATACAATATTCTGTCTGTGTATATGCCTGCGGGCCAAAAGAGGGCACCAGACCTCATTAGAGATGGTTGTGAGCCACCATGTAGTTGCTAGGAATTGAACTCAGGACCTTTGGAAGAGCAGGCAATGCTCTTAACCACTGAGCTATCTCTCCAGCCCCCCTTATAGGCCTTTAGATGTCAAAAATATAGTAGCATTTGAAGTAGGGAGTGGTGGGGTGCTAAACACAGTATCAACCTCATGCATGCTAGGTAAGTAAGTACTCTTCCACTGAGCTATAACCCTGCCCCATCAGTATTCTTCTTTTAATGTATTTATTAGTGTATAGACATAGTAGGGTTTCATCATGACATTTTCATACATTTATCTAATATATTTCAATTACATCTTTCCCCTCCACATTACCTCTCCTGTAGACAAAAGTTTTTGTCCCACCTGTTCCCACTGCCATTCAGTCCCAAAGAAATCCAGAAGCTTATATTAATTATAAACTGTTTAACCTATTAGCTCAGGCTTATTATTAACTAGCTCTTACAATTTAAATTAACCCATAATTTTTGTCTATATTTGGCCACATGGCTTGGTACCTTTTCACAGAGAGACATTCTCCTCTTGCTTCCTCTGCGTCTGGCTGATGACTGACTCTTCCCAGAATTCTCTTTTTCTGGTCACCCCACTTATACTTCCTGTCTGGCTGCTGGCCTGTGTTTTATTAAGCCAATATGAGTGACAAATCTTTACCACGTACAAGAACATTATCCCTTTCCCATCAATCTTTCTGCCCCGCCCCCCCAGCTAGGTCCCCTTTCACATCCCCATTTGGGAGGGAGGGAGTTTTATTAGTGTTACATACAGGAGCATGGGTGAGAGGTCATTTGTAGTAGCATGGTCACTTTTTGAACTATAATTTGTGTGTTTATACCAGTTCAAGCCTTCTTAAATTTCATTCATGAATTCCACAGATACTGAACATTTAAAGGCGAAAGGGTTTGTTTGTTTGTTTTTTGTGTTCAAGACAGGGTTTTCAAAAACAGCTTTGGAGCCTGTCCTGGAACTAGCTCTTGTAGACCAGGCTGGCCTTAAACTCACAGAGATCTGTCCGTTTCTGCCTCCGAATGCTGGGATTAAAGGTGTGTGCCACCACCACCCCATTGGGGCTGGAGGTTTTTGTATAAGCAGAAACTGTGATAGGTTCTATGAAGAATTTTATGGTGTAGTAGTGGAATCTGCACTCATCTGAGTTCACTTGAGATCTGTGGATAATGCAATGAGAGGAGGTGGGAGTGAGGTTGCTGTTACCAGAGCAGCGGTAACATGCATACCGTCTCTTAAAAAGGTTCACATTTTAGGATATATACATGACAAAGTTTCCTATTTTAACCATATAATTCAGTGGCATAAAAGCAGATTTACAAATTTTAATCTAACCACCTCCAATATTCATTTCTAAAACATTTTCTGTCTCCTGAAAGAAATTCTGAACCAATTAAAATAATTTCTTTGTTTTGTTTTTATTGAGCTATGTATTTTTCTCTGTTCCCCTCCCTTTTTCCCCTCCCCTTAAAATAATTTCTTATTCCTTCTTCTTTCCTGACCTTGGGAACCTCTGCTCTATTTTGTGTTTCTGTGGATTTGCCTGCTATGCATATCTTAAATGGGGAATCATAGGTTTGTGCCTCCTTTGTCCTTAGTTTGTAATATTTTCAAGTTTAGCCCATTCTATAGAATTGTCAGAACTTCATTCTTAAGGCTGTTTCAAACTAATATCCATCATTGTATATATATTAATTTTTAAAAATTAGTTTTAAAAAACTGGGCATGGTGGGGCATGCCCTAAACCCTAGCACTGAAGAGGCCAGTGATTGTATGTGAGTTCCAGGTCAGCCAGAGCTACACAATTTAAAAATAAATAAATCTTTCAAAAAGGAATTAGAAAACTATCATCATCACTACCATCATAATTGTTATTAGTGAAACAAGGTCTCCTGTGTGCCACACTAGCCTTGGACCCATGATATAGCCCAGGATGACTTTGATGTCCGTTCCTCCTGTGTCTGTCTTTCAAGTGGTTATACACATTTCCAGTTTATCCTATGTTGGGGGTCAAACCGGGGCTTTACAAAGTAAGCTACAGCCTCAACCTTATACAATTACTTTTAAGAAGCCTGAGTCCTCGGTGCCTAGTTTGAGGTAACTAATTTTGTGTCTAACGTAATATGTTTTGAGAACCTGCCTGGGTGAGTATATTCTTTCTGTTTATTTGTACAGCAGTTGACTAGTGACATGATTACCATTCTTTTTCTATTATGAAAATATGAAGAATATTCTATTCTTCATATTCTATTCTATATGAAAATAGAATATAGAATCGGTGTGATCAACTAAGAGCAGACACAGCTCCTGATTTAACTCTATATGCTACTTCCTCACAGCTTTCAGGAAATTGGTCACATGTTTGAATCAGAAGATTGCTTCAGAATGGTTGACATTTGACTCCACATTAGAACTTAGAGAAGTTCGCATCTGAGCTAAAATGTTGTAATGAACTTTTCTTCTACTTTCTATTATGGGAAAGTTCAGCTTTGTATATTGGCAGTTGTATAGCCAATGAGGTTTATCTGAGGTGTCAGTTTTGCTAATTTAAGTTTCCAAAAAGTACAGAAAGTACAGAAATGAACTTAATGTACTTTTATCAAACTTCAACTAATATTTTATGTCCACCAAGCTTGGCCCACTGTTAGCTAATCCCATACATTTTATGTGTGGATATATTACCCTTAGGGCTTAAAGGAATAGATCACAGGAATTTAATATACCTATTGAAAGGGATTAGTAGTAGTTTTTTGGTTTGGTTTGATTTTTGAGACGGGGTTTTCTCTGTGTAGCCCTGGCTATCCAGGAACTAGCTCTATAAACCATCACAGAGATCAGCCTGCCTCCCAAGTGCTGGGGTTAAAGGCATATGCCACCATGCCTGGCTGGCTAAATTTTCTTAACTGCTATTTTTATTTTCAAACTTGTTCATTGAATAAAAGTGTTTGTCAAATGGTTTCCCAAGTGGCAATTTTACTGGCTGTTCCTCTGTTCCCTGTGTTTCCTGTGAGTTGAGACATTCAGATCCTTCAAGTTTATGAGAGTGTTTGTTTGTTTGTTTGTTTGTTTGTTTTGGCTTTTCAAGACAAAATCTTTTTTGCCCTGGCTGACCTGGGATTTGCTCTGTAGCCCAAACTGATCTAGAACTCCAGAGAGCTACTTGCCTCTTGCCTCCCAAACAGTGGGATTTAAAAAAAAAAAAAACAAAAACAAAAACCTCCTGGCTGAGTTGGATTTTTTGTTGTTGTTTTGAAACAGGATCTCACTATGTAGTTCCGGCTGTCTGGAACTCACTATGTAGATCAGGCTAACCAGGAACTCAGACCAGCCTGTGCCTGGTGTGCTCCACAATGGCCAGGCATACTTTGTTTTTAACGGGAACTAGTTTTGGTATTTCTGTCACAACGTGCGATAGTAACTCCTTTGTGTCATTAGCACTGGCTTATTAGCCGATTATTTATGTCTGTTGTTTAATATGGTTAATAAAAAATAGTATTTTTCCAAGTATATGATTTTTCTTTTGTTATTGGCTAAAATACCTTTTTCTCCTCTGATCATGTGTCTTACTCTGCTGCCCAGGTTGTGTTCAAATTCCTGTACCCTTCCTTCTCCAGCCTCTTTCTAGACAGGCCTACAGGCAGGTGCCACCATTCCGGGGTGGAGACTTTCATAGAAAAGATTTCTCTTAACCAGTTTTGTTATCCTGAGATTAGTTCATATATGAAAATAAGGATAAATATTTAATCCTTTGCACTTTAAAAATTAATGGCTTATCTATTGTCCTACAGAGTTGATCAACATTAACTTCTTGTTTTATTCCCTCCATACTCTTGACCTTCTTTCTCCTTCCCCTTTCTCTTCCTCTCTTCTTCAACTCAGATTTACTTTGAGGCACTTAAGCATGTTCTTTTTCAAAGTTCTTTTTTTCCCTTTTTTTTAATTGATTTTTTTATTGAGCTCTACATTTTTCTCTGCTCCCCTCCCTGCCTCACCCCTTCACCCTTCAATCCTCCCCCAAGGTCCCCATGCTCCCAATTTACTCAGGAGATCTTGTCTTTTTATGCTTCCCATGTAGATTAAATCTATGTAAGTCTCTCACTGTCCTCATTGTTGTCTAGGTTCTCTAGGATTATGGTTTGTAGGCTGGTTTTCTTTGCTTTATGTTTAAAAACTACCTATGAGTGAGTACATGTGATAATTGTCTTTCTGTGTCTGGGTTACCTCACTCAAAATAGTGTTTTCTAGCTCCATTTTCCTGCAAAATTCAAGCTGTCATTTTTTTCTGCTGTGTAGTACTCCATTGTGTAAATGTACCACATTTTCCTTATTCATTCTTCAGTCGAGGGGCATTTAGGTTGTTTCCAGGTTCTGGCTATGACAAAAAAGCTGCTACGAACATAGTTGAGCACATGTCCTTGTGGCACAATTGAGCATCCTTTGGATATATACCCAGAAGTGGTATTGCTGGGTCTTGAGGAAGGTTGTTTCCTAATTTTCTGAGGAATCGCCGCACTGACGTCCAAAGGGGTTGTACCAGATTGCATTCCCACCAGCAATGCAGAAGTGTTCTCTTTTCCCCACAACCTCTCCAGCATAAGTTGTCATCAGTGTTTTTGATCTTGGCCATTCTTACAGGTGTAAGAAGGAATCTCAGAGTTGTTTTGATTTGCATTTCTCTGATGACTAAGGATGTTGAACATTTCCTTAAGTGTCAGCCATTTTAGATTCCTCTGTTGAGAGTTCTCTGTTTAGGTCTGTACTCCATTTTTTTATTGGATTATGTGATCTTTTGGTGTCCAATTTCTTGAGTTCTTTGTATATTTTGGAGACCAGACCTCTGTCTGGCGTCTTTTCCCATTCTGTAGGCTGTCATTTTGTCTTGTTGACCATATCCTTTGCTTTACAGAAGCTTTTCATTTTCAGGAGGTCCCATTTATTAATTTTTTCTCTCAAATTAATATGCTGGGGTTATATTTAGGAAGTTGTTCCCTGTGTTAATGTGTTCAAGTGTCCTTCCCACTTTCTCTTCTGTAAGGCTCAGTGTGGCTGGCTTTATGTTGAGGTCTTTGATCCATTTGGACTTGAGTTTTGTGCATGGTGATAGATATGGGTCTATTTTCATTTGTCTACATGTTGAAATCCAGTTATGCCAGCACCACTTATTAAATATGCTTTCTTTTTTCCATCTGATATTTTTTTTTCTTTTTTGTCAAAAATCAGGTGTTCGAAGATGTGTAGATTGATATCTGGGTCTTCTATTCGGTGCCATTGGTCCTCCTGTCTGTTCTTATGCCAATACCAGGCTGTTTTTAGTACTGTAGCTCTGTAGGAGAGTTTGAAGTCAGGGATTGTGATGCCTCCAGAAGTTCTTTTATTGTACAGGATTGTTTTGGCTATCCTGGGTTTTTTGCTTTACCGAATGAAGTTGAGTACCATTCTTTCAAGGTCTGTGAAGAATCTTGCTGGGATTTTGATGGGCATTGCATTGAATCTGTAGATTGCTTTTGGTAAAACTTTTCCAAAGTTCTTATTTCACGTGTAGATAATGGATTTATACTTGGAGACTGCTGTTTTTACACACTAATGACACAAAATGTTTAAATTTGATAATTTCCTTCAATGATTCTTTTTAGACAAGACCTTAAACTCACAGACATCTGCCTGCCTCTGCCTGATGAGTTACTGGGATTAAAGGGGTACATTACCACACCTGACTTTAAATTTATTTTTAATCATAGTTTAATCATATGTACATATGTGGACGTGTGCACATGTGAGTGCAGTT